AGTAGTTTGGCGAACGCAAAGGATGACGGGTATGAAATGGTGTATCTATGATTCGTTCCTTCACTTCATTAGATTCTAGCTAGTGCAACTGCAGAGTAGGCGAAAGGCTCCAAGACCTCCAGTGATTCTCCGTGAATTGACCAGCATACGTTCGAAGACGGAATTTTTTCAAGCTAATTTTCATTGGGAGAGTGAGATGCATGTTACGAGTGTACCGAATAGCGAGGTTCACACATAGTGATGTAAGGAAGACGTTTCAGCTCAAGCGCCAATCGGTAACAGACCCAAGTCTAACGACGCTGGTTCGGGGGAGAGTGAATCGACCTCAAGCGAGACTACTGTTCACCTACTAGTTCGCTTTCACAACTCGCAAATATGGAATCACTTCCTTGCAAGTTCAGGAATAAAACTGAACTGCGAGATCGCATTAGGTAGACGGCTGACACTTAAAAAAACTATACCTATCTGGTGTGAACAACCAGCCTCATCGTTCAGTTAATTGCTCGCTAATGCAGGCTGACTCCAGCTTTTATGGTAACTACTAGGATAAGTCCTTGGCTACTTTAAAATGTTCATGATCTCCCGTTCTTTCACCGAAATGCTTTACTATCTATGTAGACTGATGTACTGAAGGCCCAGTACCATCATTATTATCATCATCATCGTCATCGATAGTACAATATCAGTATTCGAACATTGATGCTTCAATGTCAATCAGGTATAATTTATTTGAAAGTCTTATTCTGAAGAAAAGAGGAAACATTCATGCGGATGGGATCCACTGTCAGCCTACCACAGTCTTTTCGAGGTGCATGCACCTCTAGGAACTCAGCCAGACACTCTGGACAGAAACTGACAACAAGAACCCCATGAAGATCGAAAAGTAGCCGTTTTTTGTAGGCTTCATCCCTGGGAGGTGAGTCGCACCGTCAGCACTTAGACTTCGGTGTCTCTTTCATATCCCTTTACTAGGAACTCAGACACTCTGGACAGAAACTGACAACAAGAACCCCATGAAGATCGAAAAGTAGCCGTTTTTTGTAGGCTTCATCCCTGGGAGGTGAGTCGCACCGTCAGCACTTAGACTTCGGTGTCTCTTTCATATCCCTTTACCACCCCTCACAAGGATGCAGCCTCAAGAAAATCTCCTCATTTGTGGTTGGCTACAAAGTTTTGCTCAAAATTATATCATTAGATGGTTGTATGTCATATATTAAGTGGACTGACTAGACTGAGTTACAAGTCCAATTGTCCAGATCACCAGCCTGAATATTGTTCTAATCTCAATGCTATTTAGCTGCTCGACAGCGTGAGTGGGACTGTCACAAAGAGGACAGAATAAAGAACAAAATACATATTCGGTCCATGAGGTCATTTTAAGCCAGAATGAAACCAGTGAAGTATATTCGCATTCAGGACATACGGGCAACTTGACCATGGATAACCATGCAGGCTAACCGTCTGCGATCTGTCTAGAATATGTACACGTTGTCTGTCGACATGAACATGCGCCCATTGTCTGCGTGAACAAAATGGTTGGCTTTGGCTTTACGTTATGTGCGTCGTTGCTTCACCCAGTCAGCACGTTTAGTTTTGCTCAGCCGGGACATCCGATAAACGCTCTCAGTTCATGATCTATGCTTGGATAACATTCATCTGCATTGGGATGACACAGTTCAGCCAGCGTGACCGTACATTCATGTCCTCTTTGTTCCTTTTGTTCCCCATTCTCATGAATGTCCTGCGTGTTCCCCACCAGGAAGGAATAAATCTGAATCCTATTCCCGCGTTTTGATCGATCAATGGCCAGAACGCAATGGCAAAGTGATAACCTTGAGACTGCAATTATTGCAATTCATTTGGGCATGCTGTTTTTGCCAAAAGTGCCAATAAGTGTGCCCATTCTGGGGGGGGGGTTCCTCGGAAAGGATGGTGTATCTCATACGTTTGTTAATCCTCTTGTGGTTTGACGCTGGGCCGCCTACTCGATCGAATCGTTTTTGGATTGATGATCGTAGTGGTAATTATGACCGTGCTCGGTTTGTCATTGCTATTCTTTTTGGCATTGGTGTTTTGGAGCAGCTGACTGGGTTCACTCGACCCTACCGTACTTATGATTTCAAATGAGTGAGGAGAGTACAAGTGCATACTAGACCTCCCATGAAAATTATCTCGATTTACCAAGTTTAGCTGCAATCACCTGGACAAGAGCTCGAAACGGACTGTGACCTAAATGAATCACGAAAAAGGCCAAAATTCATCAGCTTACTGGTCTGAAATGCAGTTGGACCAAAAGAGCTCAGATGGAAGTGAACACCCAGACACTTGTTACTCACTAACCATCAACGTTAAAAAAATCAAATAACTACCTAACAGGGAGGTTCGAATTCAACCAGATTTATGTCATGCAGTAGGGTCGGAAAGATTCCTGACTTTTCATTTTGAAGGGTTGTAAAATGAGCATCCTCATCTGTAACGGTCTGCAGGCACAGGTATATCCCGTAAAAGACAGTACTAACCTAATAAGTGACCACAACACCTTTTATCACTTGTGAGTGTCATGTACACTGAACCGGATGTTTGAGCTGCTGGATGGAGATGGAAATTTAACTGACAACCCAATCAGTAAGTGAACTTTCGACACAAATTGAGCGAAGCATTCATTCCTTTTCACAAGCTCTCGCTATAATGGCACTTGCAAAAAAAAGAAAGAAATATGGGGAACAGGACAATGCCAGGCTTTTGCATTGAGCACACGCTTCCAGACCGTACGCATATCAGGTTCAGAGCATACGTCGAGAATCTGGTAGACGTACGTGCGATCGATAACCTATCGTCCTGGTTCACGCACCACACAGTGTTTAGTACTTAACTTATTGGACGCCAACATTTTGTTTAGTGCAGTGGTGCAAACAAGCTATGGGTGCTCTATCCCATCTTCAGGCTGACAAAAAACACAAGCAGGTGCTAGATCTGGTGAACTTAAAATAACGCACTTTGACCTCTGGGATTTTACCGTTGTCACGTTGACTGAATGAAAAATGGGATTATGATGCATGTGGTCTAAGACTAAGTCTAAGATTTTATCAATCTTTCTTTCCAATTCGTACATTATCACATCCAGATGAGCCAGTATTGTCATGGATTCATTGGGAATCTGGCTTCGTGTTATGAGATCCGTTTCGAATCGATGGTGTGCAGTCTGTAAAATTTACAAAGCTATCTGATAGATATCTAACAGAACACCACAGAAACAACTGGATGCATTAATCAGTTAAACTCAGATTTCAACATGCACGTGTGCCGAACTGTGGTTGCGCACATCACCCTTTCTATTTATGGTCGTGGAGCTCAACATTTTTGTAGCGATAAGATTGTTGTAAAAAGTGCGTTCGTCTGTAAAGACTGATATAACAGTGTTAGATTAACAGGTAAACAAGGTTCTATCACGTGAAAAATACTTGAAACCGATTGGGTAGTCATCGTTTGTCACCAAACGTTTTCGAAAAAGGTAAACAAGGTGTTCATCATGCAGCTGCGTGTATTTCGTGGTCTAGGTCACAGATTATTGTACATTCAAATCCAGACTCTGTCGTAAAAAATCCACATAGGGATTGAAAGTACCAGTTTGTAGTAGCGAATTGGGACTGTTCGCGGTTTTCTACCACACATATAGAGTTTCGGCATATTCCTCAGAACTCCTCTGAAGTAAATAGAAAACCGACAAAGTATACGAGTTCGGACATGAGCTACTTCCGAGAAGACGAATTTCTGGAGAGCTTCAAATTATCAATGGATCTTTCACACTTATTTCTTCGCCAGCGATGCCACCAAATTATTGCTATGGTCTTTTATGATCAGAACTCACCGAAGTTGCTTGCATTATATTGGTAGATTATACAGTTGTTCTAGTGTTATGTATCTCAAATTTCATTCTCCTACGGCTACTCCGGATATGGACGGACTTGCTTATACTTAAACTGGGGCAATAAGTCTATGGACATGCAAGTACAAGAATACTTTAAATACACGGGGTCGTCATTTTCCTGATTCTAGGCACTACCAGTTTGACCTATATTTAAATAATCACTCCGTAAGTGTTGCGCCGCTAACCTTCTCGCCGTAGAGCACGATAGCGTACTGAATCAGTTTGTTCAATTCTAGCTTCCCGCTCCTCTTTCGGCCCCAGTTAAAACGAATTGCACGGATTGGGGTCATTTACCACCACCGTCATCACCACAACCGACTCGGGCCACCATTTGGCTGGTTAGCTTGCACATTCGGCATACCGACAGTGAAGAGTGAACCCGAGCGAAGCGGCTTGCTGACTCGCTGCCCTACCGGTCAAACCCAATCCAAACTAGGATTTTCCTCAATCAGGTAAACAAAGCGTGAATGCGAGCACACGCCCTAATGAATGCACAAAACTGTTTCATCCCACACGGGTCTGTCCAGTATAATCGAAGATTTGGTAACAATTACGTTGCTACATTGAAATCATAGGCATTGAGCCTGGAGGGATTGGAAACAGCACAAACAAAACTTGCAGCCTATGCAACATCAACGGTTACGTATGCTCACTGTTTCGGTGGACGCTTCGAACGACTGCCCCAGTCTACCAGACTACAGGTATCTAAAACCGAAAAATTCGTGACCCCGAAATGTAATCTGATGTTCACAGCTGATAAGAATGGTTCGTTGAAATCCACACCTCTTAATTCTGCCTAATGAGTCTTTCCATGGAAATTTCCAGTCTTAATTCTGTTACGCAATAAGTTGTGAATAATTTTCTATAAATCTTAGTCAGTCTTCAGAGACCTAATTCACAATCAAGATCAGGTATCTCAAGTACTCGAAAAGTCACAAAGTTCACTTTGGAACTCTACTAATTTTCGCCAGGGGTCTCATAGAGTTGCACTGCTGTTTTTTCAAATTTCACCGCTAATAAGATTGTCTCTTACAGGTCAGATTTCAACTAAATCGGATGAGTGAGTGGGTTGCTACTGCACATCGAAGTTATTCACCTCCAAATCGTACCTTTCACAACCATAGACTGTAATCGTTTTCGTCCGTCTATGAGGCAGTGACAACATCATATGATTCCGCCACGAACACACGCGTTCGCACCTATGACAGATGACGATGATTTCACTGTGAACACAACAGCATCACCTGAGGCCTAATAAAAGTTCGGAATTGTTCGCTACGTTTGTCGCACAAAGAAGTCAGTGGGTAGGTATTTGACTGCGTCTTTCGTCCAAAGACGGTAAGAAGACTGACGTGTTGTCGTGCCATAAAAGCTGTCTGGTGTGGTAGGAATACTTACATTTCAGACCTACTGGTTTTGTTGTTCAGCGTGCAAAACAAACGACCACCCTGAGGAAACATCATCATTAAGCGAGCGCCAGAGGGAAGATCGTTCACATCCGATGCTCGTCGCCATTAGTAGATAAATGGAATCTGGGCCTTGACTTCTATGCGATAAAGTTTCCCGCATCTATGCTATTTCCATCGTGATCAAGTAGTTTTTGAACAATCCTTTGTATAGCTAGTATGAAGGGAGTTAACTAGAGCACTTCTTTGAGGGTAATTCTGTCGATTGGAAAGATGCCGATTTGAACAGAGAGTAAACAAAGCTTAGGAGATCTCATCCTTTCATGTTGAGCCCGTGTTCAGAAAAGTGTGATCGACCGAATGAAAGTTTTTTAACAGCGAAACGATCACCTCGGGTGATGATCATCTACCAAACTTAATCCGACCAACGTAGGATCGAGTTTCCCGTAAATATTTGAAGTAACCTCAGTATCACTAGCAACAAGAAACTCTAATCTGAACAAGGATTTCTGTGATTCAACGCCATTTAGTGTTTTCAAGAACTTAGTAAATTTCATTCATCTCAGAACTTTATCCTGAAAATTTAAGCCACATCATGCAGAATAATTTCTAACCTTGTTCGTATGGTGTCAAGCAGTCAAAACATATACTTTAGTTCCTTGCTGTTTTCTAGTGAGTTGCAGTGTCTTTTTTATGAGTCAACAGAATCAATTGAATACGTAGTCTATGTTTAAATAACAGAGGCTGAATGGACGGCAAAAGTTTGATCAAAAACAAACCATTTTGTTAGCGGTATGCTAGTTACAGTCAGGTTACCATCAAAATTAGGAACAATGTGGATTTGTCAATTAGCAAACAGAAGAATTTATTGTGAACCCCGGTTCCTATTCTCCCTATTCCTGCACTGTCATTGGTCCCAAAAGCATTTTGCATGTAGTTAAGGTTAACTTTTTGTACGAACAGGCCGTGTTCTTATACTACTGACGTGACAGCTGAGCCAAATTTATTGTTGTGTGGGATCTTTAGGTCTTGTGATTTGCTCGCAAGCCGAATTGCTAGGATCACAATGACACACAAACCAACTAATTTAAGCGTACAGTGTACTGAAATAAAAAATGTCCGAAATAAACCGTGTTCATATTTTGTAATGCACTACTCATACGGTTGCTGAAAACTCCTCCTCGAGGAGCTTGTAAATATTTCTGCTACTTCGGTATACTTTGTCCAGAAACTTGGCAGTTAACAATGAAATGAATGCTCGGACCATCGAGTCAAACGCGACATTCGGCCGCCTATACAGACTCGTCTGGAGCAACGGTAGCCTTCGCATCGACCTGTTCGCAGCTGTTTTGTTCTCTTCATCGCTGTACGGCATCAACGGACGGATGCACGAATGAAAACATGTTAGAATTCTTGACGGGATTTACTTTTGCTTCCTATTCAAGATCCATCGAAATTCTGAAAACCGAAGTTCGCACGATGATCCAAAAGGCGTTTCAATGTAGTATCAGGCACGCTGGACAGATTAGATAAATCGACTGGTCTATAATTTCAGCCCGATAAATACACTTACGAAATGGAGCTCAGACTTGGGGGCTGTCGAGGTTCTTCCTCAGATGGACTTTGACAGCCTCCATGTTGGTCTGGTATCTTGAACGAATCTGAGACGTGGCTATCTGTGCAGGCTTTGTGAGCCTTTAGGCACAACACATCTCAATAAATGAAAGCAAGTGGGTTGTTCAAACGGTCAAATACAACTACATTCCCACGGACCTGTGGACCGGACGCGAATTCCTGAGTAAAATAGGACTTGCCGGTTACAAGCACACTCAAGTAAGGAAGAGCAAAGGTGTCGGTGAATTTCCTTAGGTAGGCTGGCTTAAATTTCTAATCAACACCTTATTGCGATATCACGACTGCTGGTTTACCACCTGCTCGTTGACGGGAATGGACATCCCCTAGAAGGTAGTAGTAGGCAGTTTGTGTAGAGGCAATACGGTGTTCCTCTGCAACTTGAGAAACTGAATGTTTTGGTTTTTAGAACGTAATTCCAATGAAAGAACAAAAGGACAAAGAAGAAAGCTCCTTTCTGCAAAATCTGAGTAGTACACATGTTGGAATATTGGTGGCTGATCAGCTGGCTGTTAGGCTGTTCGCCGGGTGTGGCAGTTGATTTGCAGACATTTCGTCACCGTTCTAGGAGATATTGTCGATTCGATAGCATGATTTTTCCTTTAAGAGAACTCTCTGTTGAATAGATAAACCAAGCAAAGACACTGTTTCGAAGTGTACAATTTGGTTTTCTGGTTTCCCGAAATAGAAGCATGATGAGGGCACTACTACTAATCATCTGCTCATGTTATGCAGTAGGAAGTCGCGAAAAAACTGATAATATGAATATCTCTTTTATTGCACAATGTATAAAGACGACTTTTTGACAGAAACAAACAAACAACTTAAATCTGCACAACCCACGCCTACATCAGCAACATTGCGTTCCTGGTTATCAGCCAACTTGTTTTGTCATACAGTTATAAAGCCAGAATGTCAGTTCGCATACAGAGTAAAATTATCTATTAACCCACCTCCTGCTTTTCAGTGAAATACGCTGAGTTCACTATCCAACAAACGCGTAAGAAGTTGTGTGAGAATCATTTTCTTAAGCGACTAAACGTGCTACACAAAGGCTGCCTCATGTTTCAGTTCGTATGATGTTCGAGGTATCGCGATACATCATACAGAAAGACGAGAGATTCAGCTGCGTCCCAGGTGAGTCTCCCATAAGAAGCCAATTGATATTCAAGTGAGTGTATTTGTCGAAATCTATCCATTTTGGGTTCGAGTAGAACATAAAGTTGACAGTCCCAAAAGGGGTAAATCTGGTCGTGGGCTGTCGTAGTGTTTTCAGCAGCCTTGTGAGCAGTGTCTACACAAAGTTATATGAGAACATCAATGCACGAAAACATCACTCAACCCACAATCGGAACAAATATAATTCCAGGAGCAACAAGGCCTGTTGTGCTCCTGTTTTGTATGGCCCATCGATTGGTTCGCATCATGAAAAGCAAACCATATGTTCATTTGTTTCTTTCTCAGCACGCTGTTCACAGGACACTATCATGGAATTAGGGTAACAAGTGGGACAAATAACCAGGACATGGCTGTACAACTACGCCGGTCGGCTTGCATTATTTCATTGCGGCTGAGCAGTGCTCAATCGTCGGCGGCTACCCCAGGCAGAACAAAACAAATAAACAAACAAGCTAATAATGTTCAATGGCTTAATGGGTGACATGTACAGCGAGGCAAAACCGAATGACAACTGCGGGATCGATGCCTAGGTGATCTGTAGTCACAACAACAATGAATGTGCATAGTCTATATCGGTGGAATCGTACACCAGTGCTGAACAGAGAGGAGAGATTCCGCAGGCGTGTTGGAACTCATTGGGATTCATTATTTTAGGACTCCTCAGTCGAGCTGTCCATGTAGCGCGAATCTGAATCTGTTTACGCTGGCGTCAGTCTTGTTATCAGTGGCGCTGTTAATCAGATGCGTACTCTAATTTGTCGTTATCAAAACAGTCCTGCCAACTTCCATTCCAATATTGGAACAGTCGCATGACAGCATCAACTTCCAGAATGATTGTCACATTAATTGCTTGATCCTATGATAACCGATGATCACACGATCAGTCAAATGAACATATGCACTTGTGACATATTTCAATGAATAGATAACCATTGTACTGTGTAGTTCTAACCAATTTCGCAGGATAAGCCGAATTTTGATACAAAGGAAGCATTTCGTCCATCTTCAGGACAGGCATTTTTTTATTTCCTAATTCTACCAGGCACGGAACATTTTCAGTGGTTCAAAATGACAATGCGCTTCCTTTCCAGATATAATTCTAGGTGATGGCGTCAAAAGTTTCAAAGGTCAATTATGGCACAAAATTTAGTGCATCCGCACCGCGCTACTTTATGCAATGACTGTCTGTAATCATCCACATTCGAGTACAACTATCCTATACTCACGGTTGATCAATAGTCTCTTCACATTTTACGAAAAATTCGGCGCAAAACAGGTGTCTTGTTGTCGGACTGGAACGTTTATGAGTTCGGAAGTTAGTGAACCGAAAACCGATACGGGGAGCTGGGTTAACGAAGGTACGATTCCTGTACACACACGAGTCACAGTAAGATCATAGGCGGGAGTTCCGGGCCGAAATCGGTTCGAAGAGTGTATGAAAGATTGAGCGCCATGTGGTGTATAAGATATCAAGCAGGGATACCAACAGTGACGCATCACAGCCTGCGCAACAACAAGTGGGAGCCCACCCCAATCAGAGTACATGCATAGTCACACGCATACACCCACGCAAGCTAGCCCAATCTGACTGCTAACTGATTACAGGAATGCAACAACCAGGACCCGAATGTCGCCGCGTTTGACTCGCATTCGATTAATTGTAGATATCCTTGAGAAAGTTTGCCCACGGCAATCGAAAAGTCGGATTACAACAACCTATTCCACTACACTGTGTTTTGACTTTATAGTAAAAAATCCATATCATAGACAGTTTGAAACCCCATCATGCATACTAAATCTGAGCAGCAATCAATTGATGTTGCCGTTTGACACCGGCTACTTCAGGATTGACTACCTCTCAAATGGGACTGACTTCTACGCTCTAGTCTTCACTTGCTTCAGAGAGGTCTTCTGAAAAGTGGATATGACTATAGTACAGGTGCTAGGTCGCACATTCGGCTACACTACTGATATAATATTTATCAGACCGGGCTTAAATAATCAAGTACTTCACCGTAAAATAAGTAAGCATGATGCCCATATTGAGGACAACTTGCGGAAAACCCTAGATTCGGTTTCACTGGAAGTCAAGTTACAATTAACTGCCGACTACATGGATGTACGCGCTAGGAGGATTGGCGTAAACAACAGAATAAAATATCTTATTACAAATTAATGGAAACACCGTGTAAAAAAGGAAACAGCCGTGAAATGGTCAGCTGTTTTCTTTTTTCGACCGAGCTCTTATAGTCGCAGTTAAAGTGGTAGAAAAGCGTGAGTTTACAATATTTATCTCCTCTTAGCAGACGCCTCACCGGTAAAAGCAAAATGTTTGAAGTATATTACTCAACAATTATTTAAACAGCACCTCTAGATCATCTGTTTAGCTGGCTGTATTGATTCAGAAGCTCTTGGTGGGCAACAACATTGTCATACGCCAAGCGTATAGATTTGACTATCACTTGGAGCGTTCTCGCCTGACCGATGAATCCTGCCCCCCCCCAACCCCAACACACAACATGCATGCGAACTCTGGTGGAGTCGACAGTGTGTGGATCTGAGCGTCCGAGCTAAAAGCTGGGGTAACGTGAAACACGTTGACTAGTTGGTCAGTCATATTCGGCTCAAAATATGCGGACTGCAGTACAATGCCTCTCCTCATTGCAGCATGGACTGACTTCATATGCACGGTGAGACTTTAGTCGAAACTCTGACACCCACCTAGGCAATTGCGATCGTTTGTTCGGCTGGTCTGACAAACCTATCTTATCGTCAAGGCAGCGCGCATATGAAGATTAGACAAAAGGAGATCAAAAGCAGCTGTTGGCATCGCTACCTACTAAATTCTGAAAGAACTCAGTTGATAGCAATCGATCAGGCAGACTCAGCAAACACAAATAGCTCGTTTAGGTTATGTAATCAGGCAGAAATCATAAACAGCTTGAAATAGCCGCGATCAAATATTAAACAGCCACATCGCCTGCGCTAAACTGATGCAATAAAACCCCATTTACGCAGATACTCGCAGGATGGCGAATGGAATGCTTTCTATCTATCTATCTAATCGTTAGCTAGTCGCATTGCACGAATAGTACGTCAGTGGTGTGCTGTTTATACAGACCTCCTGAAAAGTCACTCATTACTTCAGTAAGTATTACTGCATGGTCTTTTGCCATGTTTAAAAAAACAGCTTGACGTGTCCCATGGAGTGATTTCCTATAACAGGCCATGATTACGCAAGAAGTGTATTTCGGTTACATATGTCCACTGTGCCTTTTGCAACTGACGTTTAGCATTTGGCAGAAAACTCCCTAGTATCAGCAGGAAACTAACTNTGGTTATCGACATTTCAATAAGGCTGAACTGTTTTGTTTTCTTGCCTTAGAAACACGTGGCACCGTAGTACCATTGGAAAACCGGAAACCCAAGTTGTTCCACGGAATCTCCACACGCCTCATTTTGAAGTGCAGTAGAAGGTTGCAGCCCGTATGAGTTTTCTAGTATACAGGATGTATGGTATTGTGAAATACCAGAAAGGGACCGTGGAAATTTCGCATTGCTGTTACTAGGAAATCGGTACTGACGACTGATGGACGACGGCGGATAAACCCGAAGTATAAAATCGATCACGTACTTGTGAATCTTCGGTTGCTCCATCATTTAAATTACATCATCGCGTACAAACTGTGTTCGTTGACCTGCCTCTTATCCCGGATTATTTGTATTAACCTTTGGAAAACTGTGCTCGGCCGGACTACGCGGTCCGCCCCCCTATGTTTCAAGAATTCACATAGGACTCATGGACAATTAACAGTTCTTTCTCTCTTGGTCCGATGCATAAGATCTCCCTCATATAGGTCGTCATATACTTATTGAGATGCAATCTGAAAACTTGTAGGACAAGTTGTCTGAATTGCAACCAACTTGCATCGATTAACTTTGGCTCGTTCGAGAAGGAAAGTACTGATAGTTCCCACACGTTTGCTGCTATCCCGTCCATGCATAAATGTGCGATCATCAGATAAAATTTTCTCGTGAAGGAATGTACTACTTATAAAGTCGCTGAAAATTCTTCGGCACCCCACGATTCGTTTCGCCTTTCTTGGGATTCATCAGGTAGGCACAGTTCTCAAGTTTCTGATGGACTCCAAGAAGGACGAAACCGGTTGTGACCTTTCAACTCCGTGGGTAAGTTTCATCAAGAAAATATCAGGCGATATCTCGAACAGCGTAGCAAATGAAGCAACCTTTGTGAAGCACATTCGATTGAGGGAAAATATCACATCAGCTGGATTCAGTCGACTCTCCTGTCGAAAACAAATTAACACCCTTCGCTAACAGCACAGTGTTGAATTACGAATGCTCAAATCCGAAGACTTTCTCATTCTGAAGTCCGACAAGGGTCCAAGTGTTGTGGACACGGAACGATTGATTGACATTAATGAGGTGATCTTCGTTCCAATTGACGATCAACTTTCAACCACTAGGTAAGTAAATGGTATGACAAAAGTACTGGTTTGTTTTCACCTTGACCTGCTTCTGAAACGCGGATGGATGGACAAAAGGACCCACAGACGAAAGAGGAAAATTGTTGCTCAATATTAGAGTATTATGGATTATCGAAAACACAAACCTCGAGTAACACTCCGAACAACCTTAGCCATGTTCGAACTTCCACAACACAAATTGGTTTGGTGTTTGGTTCATTTGTTCAGTTGTAGCATATTTTCGGCGCCTGGTTACCATGGTATCAGAAGGAAGCACAAGGGCTGAGATAATGCCAAGTTGTCCAATCCTAGACAGGATTAGTCAGAATGCAGGGACTGGATTGCTTAGCAATCTAAAGCTAATTATTCAGAAAATTGAGACATGAAGATTGGCTGGAAACAGTGGAAAATGAGAAATATTACGGGCAAACGGAAGTGAAGAATAGACAGACATCGCTGCTTACCGATGATGCCATCGATTCTTCGTGAATTAGTTATTAAGAACATTCAGCTTGGCATCCCAGTGAAGATTCTCAAGAACCTGCTTCTACTATGCACTAAGAACGTTAGAGTCCAGTCTCAGAATTCACTTTATAGAATAGTATAGAACAGCCATGGGTGGTAACCGGACCCATTTCTAGCGAGGGCTTTTATGGCTATGGCAGACAGCTAGTATATTACGAGCGCAATGTAAGGGATGCGATGATTTCCAGTGGCACTAGCCATGAAGTTTGTCCAGTCTAAACAGCATTCACCTGAATCTCACAGTAAACTTGGAAGGAACTGATTAACATACTCATCACAAGTAGTTTGAAGAACCTGGTTAACGTAATGTTTACGTAGAAAATCAACGGGGTGGATGCAATTCTCAAGCCCGAAAAACGCAATCTTGTCAAAACTGTGTCCCGTGAGAACGTCTCTTATGCTGAAGTTGAACTACAGTTGATCACGGATATCCTGGAAAAGTTCATTAAATGATGCGGTGAAATGACACTAAAGCCGCCTACCTGTGTCAGTATGTCCAAAAAGATTGTATTGGAGGAATTCCATTTCCAAGTCAACTGCTCGAACAACCGAACGTCTATTCGGCACCAAAAGCAAATACGGGTCCAAAACCCAGTTCACGAATAACTACGGAGAAAACTATACAGAACCAAAGGGTGCTCCGCTTGGGTCCAGAAACTGATGACAGATCAAAGCTTGAGACCATTCCCACTGCAAACATCTCTCGGCCAGTCACCGAATTGATTTGACCTCAGCATCTACAATTCTGTTCACGTGTCCTCAACTTTGTTGAGGTCACTGCAATCAATCGATTCAACCCTTCACTGTATTCAGAAGTAACTTGACTTGATTCTAGGGTAACTTGGCCCTAAGGAATATATCGTTTCTTTTTAGTTTTTGAAATATTGGTAGCTTGGGTGAGCTTGTCCTTTGTTGATCAGGTGGCTGTTGATCTGCTCGCCGAGCTTGGTAATTGGCTTGCAAACGTTTCGTCACCATACGAGGAGACATCATCACCCCCTAGCTGCACACCAGCGATGTCTCCTCGTATGGTGACGAAACGTTTGCAAGCCAATCGCCAACCTCGGCGAACAGTCAGCAGCCACCTAATCAACAACGGATCGTTTCTTTTTATTAACCGACCAGTCTGTAGCCACATGATTTATTTTCTTCCGTAAAGAGCAAAGATATTTAGCTTCCTTGTTAATGGAATTTGGTAAGACGGATAAACGTAGTCCTTCGATTAGCAGACAAAAGCAACACCACATTTACTTGCAGGAAGCTGAGTAAGTGAATCATGGGACACAAAACTATTACAAATAAAGCAGGATACGTGCTCAGTTCGTAACAGATTTTTTTACGCGAAAATCATTCTCCAGAGGATCACTTCCCGCTTTTCCCAGAGGTCGCCTTCATAACAGAAGACGATCGTTCCACCGTNTATATTGGATTGGAGCAATTCAGAGACTGAGCAAACACGGTAGTTGAGCACTATATTTACACACGCGAATCGCCTAGTACCAGAAAGTTGGAAATGGCTTCTTTGTTGTATCTAATCCAAACTGAACAGATAAATCTTCCTCAAAGGAGATTTTGGAAGAGTCGTTTGCCGGGTTAAACGTCACACGAGTGACGACAGAGGCTGGAGTATCCTTTGGCCCACGGATAGCAGCCTTTGGGTCAGTCAAATCATCGAGGATCCGCGCAGACATTGGCAAAGGGATGATTCGACCAGTTTTCAAAGAGACCCGAACGCGATTCCCTTTATCATCATAGCGCCAAGAAGGCTGACAAGGTTTACCGTCTACTGGATCGACCAGAGCAATCTACGAAGAAAATAGGCAAAAATTCAATGGGGCGATCACAGATTTTCACGTGAATAATTTGGTCAAGAACAGTATACAGTCAAAACCAATCTAGTCAAGATGTGTGTTCAGAGAAGGAAAAGAAAACTCACTTCTGTATCCAGACACAGCGGTAATTCTTCACGTCGAATGTCATCGGCTGTAACCGCGGAAAGTCGATAATTAAGGCCATCGACAATGACCATACGGCGCATTTTGAGAACAGACGAAACGAGGCCAACCTGAGATCAGAGAAAAAATTACACTAGAATGACGAGCAACAGGTACTTCATAGAATGACCAAGGTTCCGAGTTAACAAGTTGTTCAACAGCTTCGGAACACAGTAAACTTCCAGCTGAATTGAAGATTGCTCAGTGGTTAGAGCGCGAATTTACTGCCAGGACTGTCCGTGGTTCGAATCCGACCTCTGCCTCTCGACTTTCCCTGTCTAGGTACAAACAAACTGGCAATATCCCATCCCCCGTGCTCTCTTCAAGTGGCAAGGCAACTAGGCACCGAGATGGAATCATTTTTATCTTTGGACTGGACAAATTCAAATGATAAACTTTTGAATATTGGACGAATTCGGAAGAACAATGCCAGGAATATGGTGTTCGGGCAACTTTTTCTGAAACGGAAAAGGAGTCTCCACCATTTTCATCCGGAAATTAAATAGACTTAGAGGTGTTTGGTCAAAACCATGCACTTGATTCCGCTGAATATTCGACAAGTCAAGGCAGGATATAGGAACCGACACATCATGCCTTGGTTGCACGGTACTCTGGACCAGCTACGTGCTGTCGCGTCGAGGAAATCCTAAACGTTCTAATTTGTAGTGATCACTACGCAATTATAATTATTACGTAGTATATAAACAGATTTAGCAATGCAATTTCATACACGTTAGCTGTGTTATCGTGCACGATGTAGTTACAAACTATTTATATCGGGCTTTTTTGTATGTAGTTGCGCATTAGTGCCCGCATGCCGTGTGAACAAGACAAGTATCCTTTGGAAAGCGGTCGGCAATATGTCGCCATCATTAGATCCATATGAGAACTATTCCTTATAATCTGTGATCGAAACACACGGTCCATTTATTCACTGGCGAACAAACCACCAGACAGTGCTCCTCGCTACCGAATGGTATCGATGATGATCATCATAACGATGATGTTGATGCTGTGATCAGTTGAAACCGCAACAATGCGACGGACGTGTGGAAGTGATATTCCACCAGACCGCTGCACGAATGACACGACAGCTGACATGGATTTTTCTGCAAACGATCTACAACAAACACTGTTGTGAGACCAGGAAATTAACGATGCACTGACGTGCGTACTGGAATCGTCGACATGATAGCCTTCGGAAATAGCGATCAAAACTTCGACACCACCCGCAGACTGAATCATCGATCGAAGCGGAATTTGGATGCGACGCACGAAAAAAATAAAGAGAAGTCGCGAAATTTCAGGGGATTATGATGATAACGAACCGAGCTATTCGCATTAAAACGAGGATAAAAATTCCGTCTTGGGATCTTGTTGTCCTGTTGTTAATTTGTGCGTAGAAATTGAGGTGGGAATACCTTTCACGCTCATTCAGGACAACGGTTCATCTGGACGAACAAAACTCACGAAAGGAAACCACAACAGGAATGACGATATGGCCGTATTTCGATTCCCAGTGAACATATATTTTCAGGCATTAAATTGTAATCAAAAAGGTAAGCAGATTTCAAGACTCGTCTATTTGTTAGACGTCACACGTCAAATTTTCCAGCAACATCTGGTATCTCATCAATCTATGGGCTAGAGGAAAACTAGCAATGAGATAGAGGCTGTTTGCAATGCATTGACTACTTGTATGGCGGTGCGTAAAAGGCGGCAAAACTGCGCAAAAAATGATGCATTGATACGTTATGACAACAGTTAGCAATTAGTATGCCAGTGAATTCCCGCACCATTCCGCCGCTGTGGTGGTGACCTATGTGCAACAAACGAATCAGGTTCAATGAACAAAGCAGGTCGGACGAAAAAACAGCGACCTACCTTTCCCTTATCTGGTCCAACAAGAATTTTGACTCGATCACCTTTGAAGATCAGCTGTTCCTCTGGTAACATCGGTTTTAGTGTTTTGCGTACTTTTTTTCCGTCTGGCAAGACCACGCACCAGTCAGTATCTGGGTAGGGGAACTCTGATATACGGTTGGCTATGTTCCATGGAGGAGCTTCCGAAAAGCGCCAAATAGGGAGGTACGCATCTTCACGATACTAAAATATGGGGGATGAAGGATACATATACCCACTGGATGCTTGTCTCCAGTTGGTGTTATAAGGTGTTTGCATAATCAAGTCTCAGGCTAGAGCGAATATAGTGCATTCAATTTCACCCTCTTCCGTAATTCAATTTTCCGGATTAGCCAGCTTACCACTGTCATTATTTTAAAAATCTTGGGTTTTGCGCTAGAATAAATCTGATGGGACGCCAAGAACATGGTAGTTTTTGAAAAATCCGAGATGAGCTAATTTAAATTCAGGTTTCCTGTTTCTTGGGCTTTGATGGGCACAGAATACCCCTCAACAATCCGAACAATTCAGAGTAAACTGATGCATTCGCATCATTCATCAAATAGTTCACTAGGATTCATTTCGACCAGAAGGTTCCTGCGGAATATGCTTCGAAGCAACACTGGCCAACACGCATTGGACCTGCGTACCTTGATTATCTTACTTCCATCGTTACTTAGCCTTCTGGTCGTGAGTGCGCGATTATTACCAATTAGCAAACATGCCTACGGAAAAGCCAAGCCTTCGATGTCAATTCACTGCATTTTTTCAAAATTTCCAAGCTCAGGTTGTTCAGTAATATGAGGTACTGTAAATTATTGTCTCTGTATCTGACACGAGACGCCCACTGGACTAAGTCCTAGGAAAAGCCAGTCATCCTATATTATTAGGCTATCATTTTCTATCGAGCTATTCGAACGTGGTACCACCTCCATAATCATGACGATATTATCAAAAAACCCTTCAGGACCAACCTTTGTGGGACTACTCATCACTCCACTTACTTGGAACCTTCAGGTCCAAGAAATGGACTGTTATCTTCCAATGTAGTTCTCCGAGGACAAAAATATTAACTTTGCTTCTAACCATCAATACGCCTATCACCATTACTAAAATTCCAATTCGGTTTAGTGAATGAGGTAATTCTGGATTTCTTCGAATATGTTTCATAGGCAAAAAGGTTGGGTGAATCGACCAAACGTAGCAAAAAGACACGAAACAATCTAGATTGATTACCTCATTTGGCTTCTTATCAGGCCTTTCAAAGGGTTGCTCTGTTTGTAATTTCCACCCGAGAAGTTCCTTGCGATATACTGCGCGGAACCTTAGAAGCCGGGCAACGTATCGAGGCCAGTAGGAGAACCGAAGGGCCGGGTCCTTAAATTGAGATTGGGGGATAGGTGTTCTGTGCGTTTAAAAATACCAAACTACTGACAAGTAGCACAAATTATACTTTCTAGCAAAACATAAAGTGGCTAAGTTCCCGATCGAAACTTCTAGCAGTAAAGTTCCTAATCGCTCGGAAATCCTCAAGATCTTTCAATAGGTGGAACGATAGGACAGGCACATAGGACCATGTGTCCAAGTCCTAAGGCAGGAAATTCTCCTCGCTCGGAGCAGACATTACCCATCTCTGCCGATAAATGTCATTAGTTTTCAGTCATCGCGAGGTGATCTGGATAGCGAAATCGTAGTGCAAAAATGCAAACTGGGATGAAGCCCATGCCTCCAACTGCGCATCAATGGTTTTGTGGCTGATTTCGCACTTCAGGCTCCACATAATACATGCTATGGAGAATAACACGTGGACGAAACCTGTCAAGTGAAACCTAATTCGCGGAGGAAAGACTGCCCAGGATAAACACAATGATCAGCCTGCTTCCGATACTAAGGCAATGTCAGTAGCTAACGTTCTATTGGTAGCTACAAGCACTAAAACGCTGTTTGTCCAGACCATGGGATATTGTCAGTAAACTGGATATTCTGCAGTGATTCCAATGGTCTGAGGTACCCAGAGATAAGACGGCGTGTTGCATTAACTGACCAACGTGTTCCTGCGGGCTGACCAGTCCACCAAGAAAAATTCATTGTTTAATTTCCGTCCTCCATTCCTTTTGGTCGCATCGTTTGATCTATTCTGCACATTTTGTTTGATATTACAAGCATCAGTTCACACACAAGGAGTGGGTCTACAAACATAAGTCTGGATGATTTCGACAGGTACAACAGCGAAGCATAATGTCACTATCAAGGAAGAAATATGCAGGGCACATTTGGTCTCGGTGGTTTCAGCTTAGGTAATTTGCACCTATTCTACGAAAACGCTTTCCTCTTAAGAACACTTATCTCAGATCGTGCAAAATTTAGTGCATCCCTGAAAAGATCCCCTTGGAGGAATATTTCGTTTGAACAATTTGCCTCGGCTGCAACCATCGTGATTTGGCCAATCATGAGATAGAGTTCGTGCTACCGAGAACACCATGAATTGCTATAGGATGGTGGTCTTGAGGCTTTTCAGCCCAGTTGCAAGCCGAACGGCTGGGAGGAGCACACCTCAAAAATGCTACCATTCGAGTGACGTTGAGTCTTTCAGCCTTCCCTTTTGGTGGCTCTACATCCAGCTATCCAGTAACCTCACTCAAAACCAATAGCCGACCCACAATGTCATCACTGGACATTTGTGGCTTCCCGTAGAGGCTCACTCTGGTGGTACAGCCACTCCCCATTTACTATAAAGGGTTTATTTGCTACCAACCCACAGGGACCGTTCCGCTACACACGACATAAAGATACAGTACCAGTCCACGTATCAAGATGATCGGGATCAATCGATTCGGCCACCCATCTTGGGTAAGCAAGCTGCATAATAAGGCCTACCTGGAAAACTGATAGTGAACACCGGGGAGATATAGTTGCGCACATAAAAACTCATGATAGTGAAGGGGAATATATCGGTAATGAACTGGCTCAAATAATCTAGATTTGATTGCACACACTCAGGAACGATGACCCAAGGATTCAACGAAGAAAACGATGAGGCATGTGATGTACTTCTAGAAATCGGTTCCCTAAATGGAAATCAGAACTTGTTAAAGTACAATCATGGCTAGCAAAATGCACTCATTTGCACACCAATTTCGTTTTGGCAGGATACTCACCTGGAAACCAGCTGAATCTCTCGTTTATGGTGTTTTTAAGCAACCGAATGTGCTGCGCCAGGCCGCCTCATGTTTCAGTTGGTACGATATTTGAGATATCACGATATCACGTGACACACTACTCCTGAGGTTGCTCAAAATTCTTCCGAGTGTCTCCTACCAAAATCAAATTGGTATGCAAATGAGTGTAGTTAGCTGATTTCGTGCATTTCGCGTTCAAGTAGAACCTAAGGTTGACGGAAACTCGGAGACTGCGCCCACCTAATGGGTTCCAAAAAGAACGAAACCGATCGTGGACCGTCGAATTTTTCAGCAACCTTACGAGTAGTTATTTTTATTTGAGTACGCAGCGATATTATTCAACTCTCTTCCGATGCTTCGTTGGATT